AGAGGGGGAGGAGAACCTCCCTCGCCCTGCTGGCCACATTCCTCTTGATGCACCCCAGGATACCATTGGCCTTCTTGGCACCAAGGGCACCCTGCTGGCTCATGGTCAGCTTGTTGTCCACCAGGACCCCCAGGTCCCTCTGGGCAGAGCTGCTTCCCAGCAGGTCAGCCCCCAGCCTGTACTGAGTTGACTGATCAAGTTCTGGATACTCTGGCTCCCTACTTGCATTGTAGTTTTGCTTTGCAGTGAAAACCCTCTTACGCATCACATTCTGTGCCGTGGATAACACACAGCTATCTCATTCATTTGTGGCTGGTAGAACTCCACAGGTGCAATCACCCTTCAATTAAAACATTTTGGGACCAAATTTCCTAATTTATGTTAAAGTAAATCATATTGCTTCCTCCAATCCATTATTTAGGGAATACGAGAATGTGTTTTCCTAAGTTTCTGCAGTGCTGTTGGCACCGTCGGGCTGGTAGTCCATGCAGAATGGAAGGTTCTACCAAAAGAACATTTAAACTTAAATGATCCTTTACCTGGTACAGCTATGGAAAGAAAAAATATAATTTATCTGCTAAATAACTGCAGCTGAATTGGCTGGGATCTTTTTTTTTTATGCTGCATAGCACCTCATGTGTCGTTCATTCTGCTCTTCCATCTGTGGCCAGGTTTTGCTCCATGTTTCTTCCCTGGAGTGCCAAGGAGAGGAAGTATTTTTAAGACAGTGTTTAGTGGCTCGAAATATCCTTACGTGGATTTTATTTTCCCCATTAACCAGGGAGGTGCTAGCTCCTTCCTTGAAGCCAGTCCATCTCCTACCTGACTTGGAGCACTGGTGGTCACTGTAGACCCAATGTTGGAGTTGCACTCAAATCCTTACATGTCCTCCCATCTCCTAAGCACATCCTGTGAAAGCTTGGTTTCTCTGAGGTGTTGGTACTTTGCTGAATGTTGGCAACTCACGGGGTTAAAGAATGGAAAGGTGCTTCTGTCAGAATATGGAATTTGGGACGGTGTGGTTGAAAACGGGCTGCTCCTCTGTCCTGTTCCTTCAGAGCTGCGTTAGGGCAGTTTTGCTTCAATCAATGACTTCAATTTTGTGATGCTTTTTTAATACAGCTTTGCTTATTTGATAAAAATACACTGAATGTCAAAGGGTTGTGCTAGAATACCAGGGTTTCTAAAAGAAGTAGCCTGTGCTAAAAATGTTCTCCCTCAAAATAGTCATTGGAAGGTCTGCCGGGTGCGCCAAGACTATTTAGTATTTGGCATCTGAATTGCATATTGTTGTTACAGTATCCATGTGATCGAACGTCGTGCTCTTCCGGAATTCTTCAATGGAAAAAACAAGTCCAAGACTCCAGAAATGTAAGTAAAGCGTGTGAACATAGACGGTGAGAGTTCAGCAAGGCAAAGGAGCTTCCAGTTTCATGAATTGGCAATGGGACGAGGGGCAGCGGCCTCAAGTTGTGCCAGGGCAGGGTGAGGTTGGGCATGGGGAACAATTCCTTCCCCTTGGGGCTGTCAGGCGCTGGAAGGGGCTGCCCAGGGAAGGGGTCGAGTCCCCAGCCCGGGGGGGATTTAACAGCCGGGCAGAGGCGGTGCTGAGGGCCAGGGTTTGGGGGTGGGATGGCAGGGGTAGGGGAGCGGTTGGGCTGGGGGAGCTGAAAGGGCTTTGCCCACCCAAACCATTCTGGGATTCTATGAATCCTGTGGTGGCTTCAGCTATGTGTGTGTTAAGCAGATGTTGTCTGGGGGGGATGAAGGAAGGAAAAGAGCATCCGTAAAACCTCCTCTTGTAAATTGATAATGCCTGTGCGTTACTGTACTAGAGGTAAAAGTTTAAATATCAAAGTAATAGTCAATAGTGGTTATCCAGGAAACAGAAAACTCATTTCTCCCAAGTGATATTGGAACAAATTCTTGAACTTTTTTACGTGGTATGAGACATGATCATCTTCCAAAGACATCTGAAAAATTTCATGATACTGTAGAAACTTAATAATCCTCCTTCTTTTCCTCTCTCTCCTCATGTTGTGCTATATTTTTGAGACTCGGGAGTTTTGTGTGTAAGCACTGATCACCGAGTTTGTTGTAGGACTCTGTGTCAGGCTGTCGAATGGATTTTGCACAGTTATCTGTTGATTTTACGCTTCCCTGAGCAGCTGATGGGTAATTCTGAAAGAGCAGGTGAGGGCTGGAAAATGAATCTTCACAGGCCCTGGGATGTAGCTCTGGTTTCAAATATTAGCTAGGCTGATTTAAATCAGAGAGCTGGAGTTGTGCACTGCAAAACACTTTTTCTTCTATAGCTGCTCCAAACCCTCTAGTGACATTTTAATTCTGGACATGCCTGTTAAATCTAGGCGGGGTTCATAGAATCACAGAATGGTTTGGGTGGGAAGGGACCCCCAGAGGTCACCCAGCCCAACCCCCCTGCAGGAGCAGGGACACCTTGAACCACATCAGGTTGCTCACAGCCCCGGCCAACCTGGCCTGGAATGGTCCCAGGGATGGGGCCTCCACCCCCTCTCGGGGCAACCCCTGCCAGGGTTTCACCACCCTCACTGGAAAGAATTTCTTCCTTAGATCCAGTCTAAACCTCCCCTGC